ACATCGCACCCTGACTGGCTCATCTCCTCCCTGAGACCCCTAGGGGATCTCCAGTGGCCTACTGATGGGCTTTGGGTCTCCACTCCACACTCCCCCCATCATTCATTATGGTAAGATTTTTTGTTCTGATGATGCCTTATACCTAATCCCTTCGACACCTTGTGGTTGCATAGGGCTGGTGTGCTTTTTCCATGTGGGGCTATATCCTTTAATAGCCGGTCACTGTCAGCTTTCTACAACCATTTTGTCTTTAGCGATTCTGTCAGGAAGGTGAGTATCATACACTGCCTCATTATTAGAACAAACCGTTCTTGTACTGAGGTAAGATATAAGTAGAGACCCAACATCATCTGCTTATTTGTTGCATTTGCTTATATATACTTATATAAACAAATACATATATTTATATTTTCCCCTACTTTTCTTTTTCCTCTTACCCCGTATTATGTTTACCCATCACTCACCTATTAGTAATTTTTATATTTTATTTTAGTTGCTGGAAATCTACCCCAGATTAATATTAAGAATCCAGGGAATTCTAAAAAGAAATCTATTTTTAAAAGGGATTATAATTTTTAATGTACTTCTAACTAAATTATTCTACAAAATAACCAACATTACTGCCATTGAGTTGATTGCTATTCATTGGGATCTTATAAGACAGGGTAGAACTGCCCCTATAGGTTTCTGAGACTGTAAATCTTTTTATTTTTTCAGTTTTTATTGGGACATAATCCACATATCATTCAATTTAATTGTTCGATCATGTCAAAAAAGTGTACAATCATTACCACAATTAATTTCAGGACATTTCATCCCCACCCCCACCCCCTGATTAAGTCACCTGTAAAATCAGTTGTTTAATCACTTTCGGTTGTAGTGCTTCCTCACTGCTCCTCCAAGCCTACATTCCCTACAGAACCTTGCATCAGCAAAGACCCAGAACAAAAAAATCATATCATTGTGAATGAGGGGATATGCGGAGTGGAGACCCAAAGCTCATCTGTAGGCAATTGGACATCCCTTCACAGAAGGATCTCAGGAAGGATACAAGCCAGACAGGATGCAGTATAGCACTGAGGAAACATACAACTTTCCACCAGTTCTTTAATGCTTCCTCCCCCCAACTATCATGATTCCAATTCTACCTTACAAATCCGGCTAGACCAGATGTACACTGGTACAAATAAGAGCTGGAAACACAGGGAATCCAGCACAGATGAACCCCTCAGGACCAATCATGAGAGTAGAGATACCAAGAGGGTAAGGGAAAGGTGTGGGAAAAAGGGGAACTGATCACAATGATCTACATATAACCCCCTCCCTGGGGGACGGACAACAGAAAAGTGGGTGAAGGAAGACATTGCTTAGTGTAAGACATGAAAAAATAATAATTTATAAATTATCAAGGGTTCATGAGGGAGGGAGGGGGAAAGAGGAGAAGCTGATACCAAGGGCTCAAGTAGAAAGAAAATATTTTGAAAATGATGATGGCAACAAATGTACAGATGTGCTTGACGTGATGGATTTATGGAGAGTGTTAAGAGCTGTACAAGCCCCCAATAAAATGATTTAAAAAACCAGAAACCTGGCATCAGTTATTATCTTTATGCATGCACTCCTTCTGTTCTTCACAACTGTAAACACAACAGAAACAGTAAAGAACAGAAACAAAATGAAGTGATAAGGATAAAACAATAGTAATATAACGAAAAATACCAACAATGGATGAGCAAGAAATAAAAGACTTCTATCAGTATTTAAAAACCAGGGAAGGAATTTTTGACGTGGAATAAGCAAGAGATCCTAGCTTCTGGAACAAATTTAGGTTTTATCTAGAAGGAGGTCAACTGGCCACGTAAGTATCAAGGTTGATCCAGCATGATCAGGATTACAGTGATCTATGTTTGCTACTAAGGCTGCTCCAGACCTTTTCCTGTGGCTAGAGGAGATCTGCCAGAGGCTTAAACTGACTAGCTACTCTGCAGATGGGTTTTGGGCTTCCGCTGTCCTCCACAGCCTTCCACAAATTGGGTGTTCATAATTGTAGCTCTGACACTTTGCCCGTCTTTATATTTGAATTGTGTTATTGCCGTCTTTGAATCACACAAGGTGGCATGCTTCTTCCATGTGGACTTAGTTGACTCCTTGCTTAGATGGCGGCATATTTGAATACAAACCTTTAATTCCCTAGACACTATTATGATTGGCAGCCGGGCACTATCTGTTCTTTTCACTACACTTTGCTGTAGTGCCTGTTTCTTCAGTGATCATTTCACAAAGGCCAGTATGGAGCAGGGCCATGTTATTAGAATGAATTGTTCCTGCATTGGGGCTAGGGTTAAGTAGGATCCCAGAATCCATGGAATGTGCACGAATGAGGCTTACTTTGGTGGTCGTCTTATGACAAAATAGAACTCCCAACTACATCAACCTCAGCAAGAAAACAACCAGTAAACAAAGAATAAAAAATAAACAAGCTAAAGGCTGGAAAACAACAACCCATATAAACAAAAGAGTACAACATTGTGACTCACTACTAGGGCATACAAGGGGTACCTCCCTCAGAACTGGAATTGTGCTGGGTGAGACAGAGCTTTGTAGTATGCATGTTTTCACTAGGCGAGCATCTTGCAACTCATGAATTAGTGCACCCAGTGGCATTGCCTGAGAATGTTCTCTCTGGTTACAGTGAATTTTCATGTAAAAGCAGTTTGGCTCGAACCTTGTTTTTTATAATGTCCAATTGAACAGAATAGCATGGGGCTGTGAAATTCTGGTTCCTGCTCAAGAAAAATTCCATAGAAACTTGTTACAGGGACAGGACTTTGGGAAGAACTCAAATGTACGAGTGGTTTTCTCGTTTCAAAAAAGGTGAAATTTTAATTGATGACAAACCTTGTTCTGAACAACTGCCACCTTCTCAAACAGACAAAAGTATCGACTCAGTGCTTTTGGAGTTTGTTCCACCAGGTCTAACTGTTAAGCAAGCTTTCTGTTTAGAGGCTCTGAAAAGATTATATAACAGTATGGGGCGAAAAAAGGCCTGACTTGTGGGAGATGGGGGACTGGTTTTTCCACCATGACAATGCACCTGGTCACATAGCCATCTTAGTATGCCAGTTTTTGTGCCTCATGCACCTTACTCTCCTAACCTTGTTCCATGCAACTTTTTAATCATTTTATTGGGGGCTCGTACAACTCTTATCATAATCCATCCATCCATCCATTATGTCAAGCACATTTGTACATTTGTTGCCATCATCATTCTCAAAATATTGGCTTTCTGCTTGAGCCCTGTTATCAGCTCATTTTCCCCCTCCTTCCCCCCTCCCCCTCCCTCATAAACCCATGATAATTTATAAATTATTATTTTGTCATATCTTACCCACGCCCTTCACCCACTTTTCTGTTGTCTATCCCGCAAGGAGGAGGTTATTTGTAGATCCTTGTAATCGGTTCCCCCTTTCTACCCCACCCTCCCTCCACCTTCCTGGTGTCACCACTCTCCGCACTGGTCCTGAAGGGATCATCTGTACTGGATTCCGTTTCCAGTTCCTATCTGTACCAGTGTACATCCTCTGGCCTAGCCAGATTTGTAAGGTAGAATTGGGATCATGATAGTGGGGGACCAGGGGAGAAGCATTTAGGAACTAGAGGAAAGTTGTATGTTTCATCATTGCTATACTGCACCCTGACTGGCTCGTCTCCCCGCCTTGACCCTTCTGTAAGGGGATGTCCAGTGACCTACAGATGGGCTTTGGGTGCCCACTCTGCACTTTCCCATTCACAATTATTTGATTTTTTGTTCTTTGATGCCTGATACCTGATCCCTTGGACACTTCGTGATCACACAGGCTGGGGTGCTTCTTCTATGTGGGCTTTGTTGCTTCTCGGCTAGATGGCCCCTTGTTTACCTTCAAGCTTTTAAGACCCCAGATGCTATATCTTTTGATAGCTGGGCACCATCAGTTTTCTTCACCACTTTTGCTTATGCACCCATTTGTCTTCAGCGATTGTACTAAGAAGGTGAGCACACGATGATAGGATCTTTTGTTCTTTGATGTGTGATACCTGATCCCTTCGACACCTCATGATCACGCAAGCTGGTGTGCTTCTTCCATGTGGGCTACTCAGCTAGATGACCACTTGTTTACCTTCAAGCCTTTAAGACCCCAGATGCTATATCTTTTGATAACTGGGGCAACTTCTTTTTGTTTCCACAAGTGAAGATTCGAGACATGAAAGGACAGCAATTTGATGATGTAGAAGAGGGGAAGAAAAAATGAGGGAGGTGCTGTCAGCCATCCAAACGGATGAGTTTGAAAAATGTTTCCAAGAATGTTATTGCAGATTTGATGAATGCAATGCAGAGTACTTTGAAGATGATAAGATTGTTTTGTAAAATAAAATTAAATACGTAACTTTGGGGGGAAATTCTGGGTTTTATCAGGGGGCTATTCCCTCTTATGAGGCAATTACACTGAGGACATCAATTTTCCCAATGTCTCAGCACTCAGGGCATGTAAATCTTTAATGCAATCAAGAGCCTCATCTTTCTCCCCTGTAGTGGCTAGTGGTTTTGAATTACCTGGAGGTAGTAACCCACTGTACAAGGCAGTCACTGTGCAACTGTGGACATAATATCCTATGTCCTATATACTGGGCTTTTTGCTTTTTAATTATTGATCTTTTTAAATGGTAGAAATAGCATAATAATAATCCATTTTTTTTCCAGCTACCATCATGTAGCTTCAGCAGGCATCTATAATGGGCAGTCTTAGTCCTAGGCATGTGATCCAGTGTCAGTAAATGTAAAATATCAGAATATGCACTTTTCCATGTTCCTGTTCACTTCTGCCATTAGCTGCCCACACTGGACTTCTTTCTCTGATTCAAAAACTCAAACTTACTGTCACCAAGTCTGTTCCAACTCACAGCAACCCTATGGAACAGAGAAGAACTGTTCCTGTGGGTTTCCGATTCCGTCAGTCTTTACAGGAGTAAAAGCCTTTCTCTTTGACCCTATTCACAGAGAACTAGGTCAGATCTAATAAGTTCAAAGGTACTGTCTTTCAGATTGCCACATGGACAGATTCTCGGTTCAAGTTTGAGAGTTCACACAACACAAGCCCTTGTCTGCTGGCTACAAGTTTGGAGAGTCCCTTTTCCCTTAAGCAAGTCTGCGTGAAACTTCTTATCTGCCCTTGGGCTCACTGGGAAAACATGGATGCTACTTCTGACGTCCCCTGTGTGGAGAAAGAATATCTAACTTTGAACCCAGTTCAAGGCCGATTTCTACCAGGCAACGGCCACCCATGCCTCTACCCTCCATTGTCCTTTCCCTGTTCTGACACCAAACAATCCTCCCAAGGCACCCTACTTCTCTGCTGGGTTTGATGATCTGCCCCAGTGCTTCTGCTCAGCATGCCTTTTTGCTCCTCACAGATCTGGGTATACAGGCATGACCAAAGAACTGTATGCTCAGAAAGAATTAGATGAACTTCTTTATATGTAGACTCTTCAGGGTGAACAGTTAAACTCTCCTTGTGAAAACCAAAGATGATGTTCTGATGGATCACTGCCTTTTAGTTGTTCCTAGAAGATGTTTGTGATCCGGTTGCCTGATGGGGAATACTAAGTTCTTTTGAGCTTAAAAGACAGCTGAGGGGGCCATCCCCAATTTTATTCACATATTAATATATCTGCACGTCCACCTAGATAAGAGAGGCTGGACCAAAAAAAATATGAGAAGAAAATAAAGGGACCAATGGCCCCGGAGGGACATGGGAGTGTGGGAGGTAGGAGAA